CCTTTTAAACTTTCATGACTCAGATATTAAAGAAACTGATAAATTGCAGCAGTTTTTCCACAATTATAGATTTTAATTCTGCTAGCCATAGCACTTTTTAATATAATTTATGATATTTTAATTGTGTCATAAACCAAAATAGGAGCATATCATATTAGGTTGGTGCAAAAGTAATTGAGGATTTGGACCATGAATTTTAAATCATTATAACTAGGCTCAAACACATCTTTATTAACCAAAATAGGAACAATTACCCCATCGACACATTTTTGCCAATGAGAAATAAATTTGTTTATTCCTATAGCATAAAAATCCATGCTTTGGGATTTGATGAACTCTTGGAAAATATTTTCTGCATCCTGCTGGTTGTGGAAGCATTTTCCCTGCAAAAAGTTGTCGAAATGCTTGAAGAAGTGGTAGTCGGTTTGTGAGAGGTCAGATGAATATAGTGGATAAGGCAAAGCTTTATAGCCCAATTCATTCAACTTTTGAAGCATTGTTTGTGCCACATGCAGTCAGCTGTTGTCGTGGAGAAGAACTGGACCCTTTCTGTTGACCAGTGCCGACTACAGGCATTGCAGTTTTTGGTGCATCTCATCAATTTGCTGAGCATACTTCACAGATGTAATGATTTTGCTGGGATTCAGAAAGCTGTAGTGGACCAGACCAGCAGCAGACCACCAAACAATGACCATGACCTTTTTTTGGTGCAAGTGTGGCTTTGGAAAGTGCTTTGGAGCTGCTTCTTGGTCCAGCCACTGAGCTGGTTGTGGCCAGTTGTCATACACAATCCACTGTTTGTCACACATCACAATCTGATCGAGAAATGGTTTGTTGTTGCATCCATGAAGAGAAGACAACATTTCAAAATGATGATTTTTTTGATTTTCAGTCAGCTCATGAGGCACCCACTTATCGAGCTTTTCCACCTTTCCAATTTGCTGCAAATGCTGAACGACTGAAGAATGGTTGATGTTGAGTTCTTTGGCAACTTCTCATGTAGTTGTAAGAGGATGAGCTTCGATGATTGCTCTTAGTTGGTGGTTGTCAACTTCTGATGGCCATCCACTGCATTCCTCATCATCAAGGCTCTGGTCTCCTTTGCAAAACTTTTTGAACCACCACTGCACTGGATCAAATGTGTTGTTGATGTTGTGAGTTGTCTCTGCTGCTTTACGATCCATTTTGAACTCGAATTTGCTTTTTGTCTAGCATCATTTCCATAGGCTAAAATAAACATAAAGTAAACAGCAAGTAATAAGTCATTGGCAAAAAAAAGTGAGAAATGTGCATTAAAATGATGTATAACATAACCACATTTATTTAAGAATGTATTCCAATATCAAATGGCAAATGTCAAAAATGCTAAAACTGCAATTACTTTTGCACCAACCTAATATAAAATATAGTTCTAAGTTCAAATTCAATGTTTTATTGTTGTTTATTTATATATTTATTGTATCTGTAGCTGCAGTGTAAACTTTTGGTCATTTTGAATATGTACAAAGTGCTATTTAATTTTTGGCATCTAATATCAATGCCATCTTGTTTATTTGATAGAACTCATGGCAGAGTGGCTAGGTATTTATCTGGTATAATTCCAATAAAAGTGCAGTAGATGATTAGGAACAGATTATTTTGTTAACTCTTGCATTGTGAAAATTAGCTAGAAGTTAAGTTTAAAAATTCAGATATTTAAATACATTCTTTCTTTTCATATTTTTACCCTTTATAGAAATGACCCTCGAAAATAAAATGACATCGACTCTAAATGTCTTGTGACTAGAGTTTTGAAGTTCTACTTAATTATTGAAGTTTTAAACTTCACAATGATGAACTGAAATGGTGCAAAAGCAGAAACATTAATAATAGAAGTTCTCTGAGGACTTTTGGTAGATAGATTATTTTGGCAAGGATTCCTGTTGAATTCAGTGCTAGGAATAAAAATCTGATTCCAGTACAGTTTTATTTTGGCTTATCAAAACTTGGTTGAGGTTGTGGTTAAATTGATGATAGTAGGAATTAAGACACAGTTTTCTACTATCAATTTACTGTAGTACTTGATTCTCATTTTAGAATAGCAGATCCTTAATATATACTACTGGTTATTTTGTAGTTTATGATAGTTAATATACACATTAAAAAGGTTTTGAGCACTGTTGCTTTTCTGATTAGCATTTTTCAGAACTGAGTTTTAAAATGCAGTTCTAAAACAAATGACTAGCAAATCATTGTTGTGAACTTAAATGTTTTTAATTGATAAGATATGTGTAAAGGACAGGGTCTGAGTACCCAAGAAAACGGGATACATTTTTGTGAACCATAAACTAAACTGTTATCCTATTACCTGCTTAAACAGATGTTATGGCACAGAGAAGAGGACATTCAACTTGAGTTAGATTTAATAATTTTGTAACTATGTTCAAATTGTGTTCCTTGAACCTCAGTATCCTCTTCTATAAAAATGAGGGTAATGTGTATCTCAGAATGATTGCAAGAATTAAGTAAAGGAATGGGATAGAAATGCTCTTAGTTTGGCAGGTTAGTACATGTTAAATAAATGTGTTATATTTCAAAAGTGTTCAATATATTTGAGTGTACAAGAATTAATCATTCTAGTCTTTTATTTAGCCATTAAGCTATTTAATGATTATATTTTTGTACTTTTATTTAATAGAACAAAAATATGGCAAAATAAAGAAATAGTAACTACAAGAGGAGTACTTAACCTAAACAATTATTTATGTGATGTTAGCTTAATCTCTCTTTGCCTCAGTTACTTTATATTTAAAATGGTAATAATAGGAGTACTTATTCCATAAGGTTATTATAAGGATTAAATGAAATAACACATGTGAAGCACTTAGAATAGTGCTTGGCATTCTAAGTGATTAGTTGTTTTTCTTATTATTGCTTTTGCTGTCTTTCTAGTATAGAAAGCCTCTCAGCCTTCCTTTAAATACATTTTTACAAAGTGAAACAATAACAAAAAGATATTAAATTACGTATTTCATTCTTTATCTTGACTTTTCAAGCTAAAGAAACTTTTCAAGAGAACAGAGATGGAGTAGAGCTTTCAGATAAAAGAATACAGTAAAAAGACATCATAAAATTAACTTCATTCAAACACTTAAGCATTTTTTACAAAGAAAAATTTTTTTTCACTAATTCTTGCTGATCTAGACATTAATACCCTGACACAGTAAAATCTCTCTTTATATTAGTAAATTTATGCCTATGAACTCAATTTCTTATGGGAGATCATTTTCTTGGTGGTAATGAGTTAAATTCTTAGAGTAAGCTTTAGGATTTAGAGATTGATTGTGTGAGCAATAATACAATAATAGAACTATGAAGTTTTTTTAAAAAGTTGTATAGATACTTAAATGCCTTAATTCTAGCTTCGTTGGCAAAGTGCTCACCTTATTGAGGATCTCATCTGTATATTTTATGTCATGCTTCATTTTAAAGAAGATTTAAACTTCTCCAGCTATAGTTCAAATTAACATTAAGGATGTACTAAAATTCAACTGTCTGCATTTTCACCATGCCTCTTTGAAGGAAAGTAGGTTTCATGTTAACTTTAATTAACCTAAGCCTTAATAATAGCTTCTAAAGATGATGCCATATGTCAGTGCTTCATCTGACCTTTATCTTTTTTTGTTACTGTTTTTTACCAAGACATTTGTATCTTTGGTCTAAATCATTTCAAAAATTCTTTCCATGGCGTAACTTTAGGATAGATATCAGAAGATAAGTGGTCAAAAAAATTTAATAGTGAATCAGAACACTGACCCTGAGATAAACAGAAGATTTAAGATACTCACTTTCTCCAGAAAGCTCCTCTATTCTCCAGTCAAGAGTCTGATTCTTTCTTCCATGCAGACCCAATTTGTCAGTGTATCTTTTTTGGTAATAAAATTCAAAAAATATTTTTCTTAACATGATGTCAGTAGTCAGCTAGGCATCTGTTGTTAAACGGCATTTTAAAGTCTACTTATTTTTGAAGGATACTAACAGGAAGAATTGTAATGCTACAGGGTTATTGATGCCTTGGTAGATCATTGAATATAGATTTTTCTCATTCTACCTGTGATTTTTCTAAGACCTCTGTATCAATAACCTTGGAGGCTAACATTTCAGAAAAATGATTCTAAACATGACACTGTAAGTACTTTCACATTTAAGCAGCCTGATATATTAGAAAGAATGATGAATTTAAAAATCAGGACACCTGGCTTCTGGTCCAAAGTTGTTACTTATTAGTCATATGATTTGGGATACCTCTCTGAGCTTTTCATCTGTGTTTTAAATAAAAAGTCCATTTTAGCAGGCTTGTGGTAAGATGTTAGTAAAATTAAAAGTTATAAAGCACATTGTAAGGTTTTCTTTTTAACATTATTAAAGGATGATGGGAATATTTCTTATAGTTAATGACACTTTCATTGGCTAATTCAGATAGAAATAGCTAATTAATATAGAAATGACACAAAAGTTGTTAAAGGAAGATTGAGTGCTAACAATCCACAGCATTTCACCTGTTCTGTTCTGAGAATCTGTTGCTTTATTTACTGCTTAAGGATTCTGATTTGTTTGGGATAGGAAGTATTCAATTAATTTTTACTGTTCCAGTTGTATATGTATCAGCTGTTCCGAAGTTTAGCCTATATCCATTCCTTTGGAATCTGCCATCGGGATATTAAACCACAGAACCTCTTGTTGGATCCTGATACAGCTGTCTTAAAACTCTGTGACTTTGGAAGGTAAGTTAGCTCTCTTCCCCCCTCTCCTGCCCCTTCCTTCCTTTCTCCCCCCACCTCCATCCTCTTTTTAATATATTCTTTTACAATGTCAATCTAAACACTATAATCCTTACTCAGGGAGTATAAACTAGTGAGCTCCTTTTGAGGGTGGTTTTGTTAATTTCTGTCAGAATTATAAATGCGTATACTCTTTCATCTAACAATTTAACTCATAGGAATTATTTCCTTAGAAATACACATTTACAAAAATAGTGTATATACAGGAATTTTTAGCACTGTTTATAAATATCCAAAAGTAGGAAAATGACCAAATAAATTATGGTACATACTCATGTAATGTAATATACATGCATCCATGAAAAGAATGAGGCCACTCTTTATGCACTGAAAAGGAATGATCTCTAGGAAATATTAAATGAAAAAAAGCGAGGTCAAAACTATGTGTTTAGGATGCTACCTTTTATGTGTTAAAAACATACAGCGTGAGACCATATGTATACATATGTATAAGTGGCTTATTTCTGGAATGGCACATAATAATCCTATGACATTGATTGTCCCTGGGAAGAGAAACTTTGGGAATATAGTGTAGTTGGGAAACTTGCTTTTCATTGATTATACTTTAATATTGTTTGAATTTATATTATGTGTATATACTCCTTTTTTGGTGAGAACTAATCTTTAAAAAATATTGTATGTTACTGTGTATCCTTTTAACTTCAAAGTTAACCTCGATTTAGGGGTAAAGTAAAATATCTACTAGCAGTGTTTTCTTCCATTTGCACTATAATTTAATCTTTTGTTCTCCTTTTTTTTCCTGCAAATTTCAGCAAACTTTATGCTTTTTAAAACTCATTCCTTGGTAACACCCTGTGAGGTTGTAGTTTGTAAGAAAACTTTATCCTGTTTCCTTAGTTTTCAGTATCTTGTGCCTCTCTGATTTCACCTTTCGGCATGCAGTCAAGCCTATATTCCCATGTAACTCAGGCAGTTACCCTGCTACTTCCTCTCTGATGTAATCATAGAGTAATCTCTCTCCTCTCGATCCCTAAGATATCTCTGCGTAGCTTGGATTCTCTTTATTTTAATTTTTTTCATACTTATTACAGATTCTTACTTTTAAACTTAGCTCTATAGATTACATATTGACCCACACTTGCCAAAATCTGTCTACCTACCTCTTTGTAATGGTTTTACATCAACACACAGTTGAAATTTTGGATTTATCAAAGGTTATATTTTCCAAGGCTTCTCTTGAGAGAGCTCCTTACAAAAATAAGCAAATCTATTCTATCATGAATTAATTCTTCTTAGTGATACAGTATGTCCTCTTTCAGACCATTCTCATTTTACTGTTTCCTAATTTTAGGCACCTGTCACAGGATCCAACTCACTTTGCAGGCCATGATTCTGTCCCCTGATCTTTAAGAAAAAGGGTGAAAGATATTTAATCAAAACTCTATTTGATGCTTGAAACAAAGCACTACTGCTTGTTATCTGTAGGAAACACTGCCCAAATCAGATGAGTTTTATTGTTATGGGGTGCCTTCCCCACTGAGAGTGACTGATCGGGCCTATAAAAAGACTGTGAGACACCAAGGTTAGTAGAGTTTCTGTTCTCACCCTAGTGTCAAAACACTGTTAGTACGGCCCATTCTCTTGGGACATAAAATGGCTTTGTTATAATAAATTTAGAATAAGGATTTTACTAGTTTGATAACAGTTCAATGAACTGTTTTTACAGACTCTTTTGATAACAAAGGTGCCTTTTTTGTTTTTAACAAAAGTGGTTTGGGCAAGTAGAGTTTGGGAGACACTTTGGACTATTAAGTACCAGGTTGGTGGTAACTTGAACAAAACAGTTTTTACCCTCTTCTTAGGAATTCTTTATTGAATGAAACAAGACCTGGAAGTAGATAAAGGACTAGTTGGGCTTCCTAAGGACCAAGGCTATATGTGACTACTATATTGGGCAGAAGTTACAGCCAGTCTTATTTGTAAGAGAAAGAAGGTAGCTCCATCAATTAGTGAAAAAACCTACAGGTTACAAAGCTTCCAATATTAACATTTTTGTCTTACAGTGAATTTTCTAACTATATAATTCGATTCTATCTTGTTACTAAAAAAAAAAGTCCTTTAAAAGATAGAAAGATCTCTTATCAATTATGCTGAAAACTAAATGTCTTAATTTTCATGCAGCCTAAAAACAGGGATTAATGTTTATTAATTTATGAAATGGTTGTTGTGTGTCAGTACTTGGGGAGAGGTTTAAAAAATGGTGATGAAGAAAAACAAGTTAAGGTTAGAGTTATCATCGACTCATAAATGGAAGGAAAGAAAGCTCAGACTTTGAAATCTTTATGACTGCTTTCATCTGTCCTTACCTGCTTTTCCTATATCTTTACCTCAACATTTTGTTACCTTTTTTCAGCACTTACTTTTGTACTGTTTTGATTTTGTTATACATATTTATTTCCTTTATTTATCTTTGTTGTTATTGTATGTCAAATTGGTTAGCTTCTACAGCACTTTATTTTATTGTTGTCTCCAGGTTATCTTGAGAGACATATCAAAAGAAATTAATTGTAATTTATTTTCATGTTTAAAATATATGCTACAAAGTAAAGGAAAATTGAAATAAGAAAACATGTAATTAAACTTACCATAGCAGAATTAGAATTCATATGCTCTGAATCATTTCTGTCCTAAAGTTGAAGGCCTATCTTTTTGCACTTTATTAGGTAATGAATATTTAGACAGTTAGTAAATTTACCAAATGTGGAAAAATAAAACAGATTGGGTCTGTAAGCCTTGATATACTCACCCTGAGTCAGAAGTCAAATTGTAACAGTCGCCAATTTCTTACCTCTTTTAAAGAAACACATTGAGTGAGGGATATTCATTCTTATCTATTAGCATGCTTTTTGGTGGGAGGAGGTACTTCTTTTCTGCTCTGTCTTTTTTGTATTTTAGAGGTGGAATTTGGGGAACAGGATCAGAAGAAATTCAACATTTATCTTTTTGTGATTTTTTTTTTAATCCCTTTTCCTTAGGTAACAGTTGACAGATGCTTTCTTTAAAAATTGCAGTTCATTTTTGGAGAGTGATATGATAAAATAGTACATTTCTTTTGTCAGAGATAGTTATGGTTCATATTTTCTTTTTGTATATGATTGGAATGATATGAATATTAGATAAACATTTGATACTGTGAATGATAGCAGTCTAGGTTCTTTTAAGATTTAGATATAAAGAATTTCTGCCTTTTATTTTTTTCTATCAGCGCAAAGCAGCTGGTCCGAGGAGAACCCAATGTTTCCTATATCTGTTCTCGGTACTATAGGGCACCAGAGTTGATCTTTGGAGCCACTGATTATACCTCTAGTATAGGTAAGTACTGAATCTGAATATAATGCTTGTAATTATTAATTGCATCTTGATTTTAGTAATTTGGTATTACTCATCTGTACTTTTATTTCCATTGAAAGATGGAGGTTTTTTGTTAAAGATTGAGATGCAAAAATGTACAGGCGTATCTCATTTTATTGTGCTTTGCAGATAGTGCATTTTTTTTTTTACAAATTGAAGATTTGTGGCAACCCCGTGTTGAGCAAGTCTATTGGCAACATTTTCCAACATGTACACCCTTTGTGTCTCTGTGTAACATTTTGATAATTCTTATTATATTTCAAACTTTTTCATTATTATTATCTGCTGTGGTGATCTGTCATCAGTGAGCTTCGATGTTACTATTGTAATTGTTTTAGGATGCCATGAACCATGCCCATATAAGACAGTGAACTTAATCAGTGCTGTGTGTGTTCTGACTGCTCCACTGACTAACCGTTCCCCCATTGCTCTCCTTGTTCTTGGTCTACCTTATTACCTGAGACACAACAATATTAAAATTAGGCCACTTAATAACCCTACAGTGGTCTCTAAGTGTTCAAATGAAAGGAAGAGTCCCATTTCTCTCATTTTAAACCAAAAGCTAAAAATTATTAACCTTAGTGAGGAAGGCATGTCCAAAGCCAACTACCAAACGGCCAGGTTGTGACTACAAAGGAGAAGTTCTTGTAGGAAATTAAAAGTGCTACTCCAGTGAACACATAAATGATAAGAAAGCAAAACAGCCTTACGGCTGATGTGGAAAAAGTTTTGGTGGTCTGGATAGAAGATCATACCAGCCACAACATTCTCATAAGCCAAATCCTAATCTAGAGCACAGCTCTAAATCTTTTCAATTCTGTGAAGGGTGAGAGGTGAGGAAACAGCAGAAAAAAAGTCTGAAGCTAACAGAGATTTGTTGATGAGGTTTAAGGAAAGAAGCCATCTTTATAACAGAAAAGTACAAGGTGAACAACAAATGTTGATGCAGAAGCTGGAGCAAGTTATCCAGAAGATCCAGCCAAGTTCAGGCGTGGTGGCTCATGCCTGTAATCCGAGCACTTTGGGAGGCCGAGGCAGGAGGATCACTTCAGCCCAGGAGTCTGAGACTAGCCAGGGCAACATAGCAAGACCCTGTCTGTACAAAAAATAAAAAGAATGAGCTGGGCACAGTGGCAAGTGCCTGCAGTCCCAGCTGCTCAGGAGGCTGAGGCAGGGGGATTGCTTGAACCCAGGAACTCAAACTTACAGTGAACTATGATCATGACACTGCACTCCAGCCTGGGTGACAGAGTGAGACCCTGTCTCTTTAGGGAAAAAAAAGGGAAGAAGAAGATTTAGCTAAAATAATTGAAGTTGGCTACACTAAACAACATTTTCATGGTAGATGAAATAGCCTTCTTTTTGGGAGAAGAAGATGTCTAGGACTGTCATAACTAGAGATGCAGCTGGTAATTTTAAGTTGAAGCCAGTGCTCATTTACCATTGTGAAAATCTGAAAGCTTTGAAGAATTATGCTAAATCTACTCTGCCTGTGTTCTGTAAATGGAAAAATAAAGCCTGGATGGCAATACATCTGTTTATCATGGTTTACTAAATATTTTAAGTCCACTGCTGAGACCTACTGGTCAGAAAAAACGATTCTTTTCAAAATATTACTGTATATCTAGTCACCCAAGAGTTCTGATGGTTCTGGTGGAGATGTACAAGGAGATTAATTTTTTTGTGCTAGCACAATATCCATTCTTGAGCCTGGATCAAGGAGTAATTTTGACCTTCAAGTCTTACTATTTAAGAAACACATTCATAAGGCTATAGCTGCCATAGGTAGTGATTGTTCTGATGAATCAGGGCAAAATCAATTGAAAACCATCTGGAAAGGATTCCCCATTCTAAATGCCATTAAGAACATTCATGATTCATGGGAGGAGGTCAGAACTTGACATGAACATGAGCTTGGAAGAAATTGATTACAACCCTCATGGATAACTGAAGGGTTCAAGACATCAGTGGAGGAAGTCACTGCAGATGTGGTAGAAATAGCAAGAAAACTAGAATTAAGAGTGAAGCCTCAAGTGATTGAATTGCTACAATCTTATAATCAAATTTGAGGAGTTGCTTCTTTTTTTTTAAAATTTTTTATTTCAGCATATTACAGGGGTACAAATGTTTAGGTTACATATATTGCCTTTGCCGCACCTGAGTCAGAGCTTCAAGCATGTCCATCCCCCAGATGGTGCACACTGCAGCCATCAGGTATAAATATACCCATCCCCTCCTACACCATCTCACCTGCCCAATACCTGATGAATGTTACTACTATATGTGCACATAAGTGTTGATCAGTTAATACCAATTTGATGGCAAGTACCTATGGTGCTTGTTTTTCCGTTCTTGTGATACTTCACTTAGTAGAATGGGCTCCAGCTCTATCCAGGATAATACAAGAGGTGCTAGATCACCATTGTTTTTTGTGGCTGAG